GCAAATGATGGGGTTTGATGGAAAATTATGGCAAACGATGGGGTTTGATGGAAAATTATGGCAAATGATGGGGTTTGATGGAAAATTATGGCAAATGATGGGGCTTGATGGAAAATTATGGYAAATGATGGGGTTTGATGGAAAGTTATGGCAAATGATGGGGTTTGATGGAAAATCATGGCAAATGATGGGGTTTGATGGAAAATTATGGCAAATGATGGGGTTTGATGGAAAATCATGGCAAATGATGGGGTTTGATGGAAAATTATGGCAAATGATGGGGTTTGATGGAAAATTATGGTAAATAATGGGGTTTGATGGAAAATTATGGCAAATGATGGGGTTTAATGGAAAATTATGGCAAATGATGGGGTTTGATGGAAAATTATGGTAAATGATGGGGTTTGATGGAAAATCATGGTAAATGATGGGGTTTGATGCAAAATTATGGCAAATGATGGTAAGTGATGGCAAATAATGGGGTTTGATGAAAAATTATGGTAAATACTGAGACGAGATGTTGGCTATTGACCCAAAGATACTTACATATCAACCAAAAACATGACATCAAAGATGTAGTTGAGGATCCACAGAGGGATATCAACGTGAAGAACAGCTGCTTGGAGCCCCAAGGTGACCATGTAGATCCCAGCAATAAAGATGGTCGTTGCTTGCCACACTCTGAACCACGTGCGAGTTGGTACAATCCCCTTCCTGGAAAATACAAGACAATGAAAAAAATACTTCTGTGAGGACAACTTAGACTTCACGTCTTTTCTTGTCTCGTGCTAAATGTTCATCAGCTGAATCACAAGTTTTCAATAGAATTCTTTCTGGCTGACAGCACATGGTGTTCAGTGTTTGATCACCATGTGGAGCAGATAATGGGATGTAAAGTCTTTCATCAGCAGATTTAAACCCAGCCATTGAGATTCACTTGATTCTTTTTATGATTCTTATTCAAATTTTAGACGTGTAACACGGATAAAAAAGGGAARAAAATCTCAAGAGAATAAAAACTGTGGAAAAAACATTTTGACTAAATTCCAGGCAAGAAAAAAGAAAGAAATAGTAAATGAAAGTTACCTCATGAGAAAGAAAGAGAAAATCCTGGCCAGAGGTGAAAGTTCACGATATGGCCTTTTAATTTCTTCCTCGACATCAATATGATTCAAGATCGCTAACTCACTGCAAAAGAACATACATGAACAATCAACCTTGAACAACATAATGACAGGTTAAGGTAAATGCACTGAAAGCATAGTAAGTAAGTATATAGCAACTCTGGGACAAGTGCATGACCAGTGCGTGACAAGGAAAGCCAAGTTTGTGCATTCCTCCAGCTTCGAATGTCTTTCCTCACACTTATCATAAAATGCCCGCACAGCATGTGTCTGCATAAGTCAGCATTGCAAAGGAAAATGGGTTCAATATGCCTCTTTATAGGGGTTTTGCACCACCACGTGACGGCAGCCATGTTGTGATGGCAGGAACAATACAGTCGTTTTAAATGTGAAACAATTAAATTTCCAAGAGCAAAGGGATTTTATTGTTCTGCCATCTAACCACAGGAAACCCAAGCAGTATTATGGGATGGGCACGTGATGGTGCAAAACCTCTACTAACTTGGTGTAATGTTTTCCGATTTCAGACCACGTGTCAATCTCTTAAGCATAAGATCCTTTGTTTGAGTTTTGTATCCATATTCATGTGTCTTTTCATATGCAACCGTTAAACAAAGAAATAATACTCTAGGGAATAACACATGGTCTGAAATGGGAAAACATTACACCCAAAGTAAAGAGGTCTATGGATCGAGACATTCCTTCCTTACCAGTGATCAATGGGTGTTATCTGTGACGACTTCTTGGCAATGGCTGCCAGCTTTCCAGCTTCTTGGGACGATGAATTACCCTGAACTGTCAATGACATGCGTCGGATGGCTGTCCTAGCAGTCTGAATCGCAGCCTTCTGGATTTCTTGCAAGTGAGTGTTGCTCGCACCAGCCTCGCCAAGTTGCCTGTAAATTTCAAACAAAGTAAACATTGAGGACGTTTGCGGGCATCGCTCGACTATTATGGATTCCGCGCGAGCCATTTTCGACAAGAAAAAAGGCTGAACACTCACACTCCTCAAAGAGTTTGGTGACTCCTATTTTTTATTTGCTCATAGATCTTCGATCTTATTTCACGATACGAAGCTTGAAGGGGGAAAATGGCAAGCACATCTACCCGTGACCGCCCTTAAAACTGAATATCATTAAATATATTATGCTATAAAATGAAAATGTGTCCGAGATGTTGTGATCACCACTTGGCATAACACTTAAAAGTTGCCACGACAACAGACATGTAAGTTTCATAAATGAGATGTTTATCTAAAAAGTAAAATGTTTCCATGACGATGGGATATTTGCATATTACCACAGCAACGTAATTATGTTACCTGGCAACCACTGGGAAATACTGGAGGACGTCATCAAGATCATCTTTGGTCAGCATCAGAATCTGGCAGTGTGTTTTGGCCAGGACTGAAGCTAAACGACTCTCACCAAAGATGAGACCAACCTGAAGGATTATAATGGATTATTATTATAGTCAACCTAATTTCTCTCAATAAACCTCCACTACGTTTCACTATGTCCTATAAAAAAAGGTATACCACGGCAGACCACACCACACCACCTCACAACATTTAATATTCATGACATCTTCAAGATAAAAGTTTTCCAGTCAGCTTGAGTGTCATATTTATTTTCGTCTCAGACGACGTGACATCCTTTTGAGAATCTTTGTTACAGTTTCATTACTATTGAGGTTTTCTTTCCGAACTTTTATTTTCTACTGACAAAGAAAGAAATAATACTCAAGGGAATGACACGTGGTCTGAAATGKGAAAACATTACGCCCAAGGTAAAAGGGTCTATAAAAGGAATAATACACAAGGGAATGACATGTGGTCTGAAATGGGAAAACATTACGCCCAAGGTAAAAGGGTCTATAAAAGGAATAATACACAAGGGAATGACATGTGGTCTGAAATGGGAAAACATTACGCCCAAGGTAAAAGGGTCTATAAAAGGAATAATACTCAAGGGAGTGGCATGTGGTCTGAAGTACGCCATACAACCTTTTTATTGTTTAATTAATTGCCTCACCTCTCCAAAGAAACCTCCAGGGCCAAGAGTAGCAAGCTTTACTCCATCATCGCCAATCACATCTACCAGTCCCCTTCTTACACAATACATCTCACGGCCCATATCGCCAGCGTAGACAATATAGTCACCTGGTGATGAATACGAACATGAGATCTGGGTTTAACGGTTGTTTTACATGTCTAGGAGGATTGCTTTACCTGGATTGAACATGTAGGATGTTGTTTTGAGAGAGAGTTTGCGTAAGAATGAATCTTCTGTCTCCATGAAGATGGGAACCTATTTTTAGAAGATACAGGATCATTGTAAATATGAGCTGTAGCTACAATAATAATAATGATAATATGGGGAACGGCAACAATAAGAACAATAATAATAACAACAGAAGCAACATTAGCAGTAATAACGACAATAGCAATGAAAATAGCAGCAACAACACCAGCAGCAACAGCAGTAGAAACAACACCAGCAGCAACAGCAGTAGAAACAACACCAGCAGCAACAGCAGTAGAAACAACACCAGCAGCAACAGCAGTAGAAACAACACCAGCAG